AAATTAACAATCGTAGATCTCTACTTTTAAAATTAAGATCCTAAATTTAATTACTCTTTATATTCAAAAAATTAATATTAATTGAACTAAAATTGCTTTTTATATTAATTTTGCAGTTTTTAATTTATGCAATTTAACCTTTTTATTTTTACGTTTTAGAATATTTAATAATTTGATCACCTTTATTATTAATTTATTATATATATTAATTAATTAATATAAATAGATATATGATTAATAATTAAAAACATGCAGAGGAAGAACAAAATAACCAAGAGAATTACATTTATTTAACATTTCATTAAAATGAGGCTGAAAAATATTGGAATTGTTTCTTATTTGTAGCTCTTAAATTACAGTTATTTATTTATAATATTAGATATATTGCATTTATTTTTCTTTAATATTCATTATGGCTTTGTGATAGATGAATCTGAAGTCAATATGTGTGGTATATGTTACCAAATTCTTTACAAGAACTGCTGTTTTATTTGTATGAGGTCTGAATTTAATATACAGTAGTCCCTCATTATATTGCTTGTTTTGTTATTTTTTCTCTTCCAAATATAAAAAAGCACAACAGCCAATACATCACTCATTTAGTTTGTCTCCCTACACAAACAAAGTAACAAGGAACTAACGTACTTTTGATACTAAAATACTGCAATTATAAAATCCGATTCTGGATACTTATAATGATAGCAGTCTACATTTTGTCACATACATTTCATTTTCTTGTTTTTTTTCAATACAGAAATATATTATTAAACAATACAAGATGCTAAATAAGGTAAAGTAGTCAATATTCAATCCAAAACAAAATGTTTAATTGAAGGTTACAAGTCTCGTCCTCGAATCTAAATGGTTGAGTAAGATATGATGTCGAGGCACAAAAATACCAGAAAACATTTAATCTCGGATTAAATATCGACTCCTTCCCTTCCTTAGCATCTTGCACTGTTTAATGGTATTCTATAGTGTTGGTAAGCTCAACAGACTAACATAAATATAAGCTGCAAACTAAAAAATATACTCTAAATATGAATATATGTCTCATTAAATATTACTTAATTAATATTTCAATGTAATCATTAGAATTATATCTTGTAGTGTTTAATTGTAAATTAAAAATATATAATTAATGTCAACTTAGATTAGAAGTAGACAGAAAGAAAAGAAAGAAATAAAAACTGCTTTCTGTATTGTAAATATTGTTTAATGCAACTTAATTTCATGGTATCAATGGGATGAAATTTGTTTCAAAATGAAATTTTTTCCTGAAAACTATTTGCAACAACACAATGTTTTTCTTTGCAGTTCTACAGTGTTTCATATTTAATTTCTTGGATTATTTTTCAATAACGTAATGACAATTAATGCATTAAATATACTAATAAACATAATAAACAAAATCATTCTTAATTTTTAACATAGACATTTGACAGTAATAACGTTAGCCCATCCAATTCTAAATTTATTCATCATAATTTTTTTCTGTAAAATTTTTAAATATATATATTAATAAAAAAGTTTAAAAATTTTAGCAATTAAAAACGTGCGTGTGGATTAATTATTCAATTCAGTAAACCAGAACAAAAAAAAAGGCTGATCCCAAAGATGATCAAATGAGAATACGAGTATTGCATGCAGCCAATGCCACAATAACTAATACAAACAATAAAATTAATAATAATAATTTAAAATTATTAAAAATTAACAAATGCAATATAACACATGATTTTTCCATACAGCAGAAAGCAGAGAAGTTTAATTTAGTGTGTAGCAGTGAGTTTTCATGGTAACATTAAAACTCTCTGCTATACGCCAAATGATCTGCAAGATTGTATTGGGCTACATTACAGCTACATTTACTTTATATCTAAGTAATAAATGTATCCGTAATATAGCCTGATACAATCTGGTACATCATTTGGTAATAATCAAGAATCGGATTATTCAATGTTTATATTCTCCACTATAATTTATATGTTTTCATGCAAACTTAAAAAATATCTTAATGTATAACAATCATTGAGATCTTTGTAAAAAGTAATGAATTCAGATTATGAGTAGAATTTAACCTTTTTTTATTTTAGTTAGAATACGAACAGTTAACAAATATCTGTTTTATCTGTTAATAGTCAATTTAACACTGATCTGGCCTGTCTTGCAAATATCAGAATTATATACAGCATATACACTGTAACCCATGTTCTGCAAACTTGCCCTTATGTATTCAGACATATTACTTTATTTGTGGACAATATCATGTTTACTATATTATTCAATGCAATAAACTTTGTTACTTTATTGCTTCATTGTTTTGAGAGAAGAATAAATGTGAAATTGATTATTGATTTTTGACTATAGCAATGCTAATGCTCTGTATAATAAAAAGTATGTGAATGGCTTTCTGTAGCCACGAAAAAGTTAAAAACCACTGCTATCAACACTGTAAATATACTACCATATGATTTTTCTGACATTAATAGCTTCATTTCTTTTTTTATGTCATTGATTAACTTGAAAAAATTTCAGCTGTTTTCAGCCATTAAAATCATTTTAAAAACAGGCAATATAAATCCATAATTAATATCTAAAATTTTTATTTTTATCAAAGTATACACAAATAAAATTAAATATTTGAAAAATGATGTACAGTAGAACCATGAACATCTGAGTGAATCCTCTACTTACATTGTAATTCATAAAAGAAAGTTTAAAATGATAACACACATTACAAAATAATTTGTTTGTCACTTATCATTTAATTTCAATGTGAGACAAACCATTTGCACTAAATACAAGTATAATAATACACATTTTTATTCTTAAAACTATTTTATGTATTAACTGCATAATAAGCGATGTAAAATTATTTTTCTTACATATGATTAAATTCTCTAAGGAGTAAAAAGAGTCCATATAAATCTTTAATATTAATAATTTTTAGTTTGAAATGGCTGCAGCATCCCTCCACATTACATCGAAGAGTTGGGGTTGTACCGTAATCGTTTTTAATGCAAATTTACCAATCAAAAATCAAAATTTATTCAAGACTTTAACTGTAATCAAATTTAATTAATTAGAAGAATATTATGTTTTAATCTTAGAAAACTAAAAATTACTTTTTGAATTGTTAAAAGTCATTGGTTTCTGCTGGAGGAGAAATTTAGAAAGTCGCTTACTCAATTTCAAAGTACTTTCAAGATTTACAGCTTATTGCAGGTAGTAATTACCAAAGTAATAATTATTATTATATTTGTGATTTATCAACTAATCATACAGTGATGTTAAGAGAGTATTCATTATTTCATAAGTGTTCGTCTTTTACATGAGCATACATCAATCATCTTTATTTTGTTTATCTATATTGCAAATGTTTCCACTATTAGAGTAATAATATGCAATTTACTGTCATTTTATTATTGGAAAAATGTATTAACGGAATTCAAAATTCAAATTTTTTTTTTCTTTTTTTTAATTAGAACTTTCATAAGATACATTTTATAAACATTTTACTTAAAAATTGTAAAATTTCTGAATTTCTTTACTTAATATCTATAATAATTAATCTATTTAAGAAGTACTCCAAATAAAAGCACATTCATAAATTTTTGTATAAAAACTACTACTACTTTGATGAATTAAAAGAAAGCGATTTTTCATGTACTTTTATAATTTATTTTGTCTTAGGCATTTTCAAAGTTGTAAATCTTAGTAATAACAATTAAGTTCTGTTCTAAAATCTGATCTGATGCAACAACAAAGAATATTTTCTTAACTGACTATGGAAAACAAGCAAATGTCATTCACTAGTTTTAAATTATTAATTGTTAATTTGTAAATCCTACTGAAATGAATCTAATTTTTCACTACCAATAGATTTGAACTGAATACATTTTCAGTTAAAAAAAATTTCTTTAGACTATGAAAGTAATTATAATTATAATTTGTGAATATTTTTATACTTGATATTATTATTATTTAAAACTTTCTTTTAATTAAATTTCAGTTAATACAGCATTTTGATTTTAAAATGCTAATAACATTCTTATTTTCTTGTCTAAATCTTTTCAATTCTAAACTGTATCTTCTCAAATTTCAAAACATGACAGTGACTATATAAATTATCAGAAAAAAATTGCTTTAAATTAAATAATGAGAATTATATCAGAGTAATTTGTAAAGTTGAGAGATGATATTTAAAAATAAATAAAATTAATAAAAAAAACAAAAACATTTAAAGCATGAACTTCTTGACTGTGAAATTTGTATTGTGATTATTCAATTATTATTTTTTTGTAGGATAATAAAATAAAATAGAATCAATCAATGCAATTAGACAAAAGGAATGTCTAAATAATTATAAAAGAAGCATCTCAAATATAAATTCAATTCAAACTGCTTTTCTTAGAGCAAAAATTTTATAAAGTTCAAACACTTTCAGGTTTCTTATTCATATTTAGCAGTTGACAAGAAAAAATTTGCTTTTTCTTGTTTATTCCTAACAACAAATTTAATGCCTGAGAGAATTTGAATTTTCTAAAAAGTTCTCTCTGCGAGATAAACCAGTTTATATTAAAATATAATAAAGATGGCAAATAAAAACTCCAAAAATGTTTCTATAAAAAAAAAACCGAAAACAAATAAATATATTTTTGCTGTTAGAATTTATAAATACAAAATTTGAAAAAGTAAACATGATTGCTCTTTCATTATTCCAATATTTTAAAGCCATGCTTGTAATAAATGTTAATTAAATGCAGTCGGAAATCAAAAGCATTAAGAAAGATGAAATTTGATTAAAGAAATTTCATTTTGATAATGTTTAATATTGCGTATAAATTGCAAAAAAATGTTTTCTTTAATGTTTTTTTCATTTTTTTTGCAATGATAGATTAAATTTGAAAATAGGAAAGAGGGAGAGAGAAAAATGGAAGACCTAGCAAAAGAAATCATCATGATAAGCATGCACAATGAAGATACTTCAAACCAACAAAATAAGATTTCTGAGATCAGCTGAGTAATTCCTGGTGACAAGTTCCATTGATGTTTGAAGATTCTGTCTCTGCACAGCTGCCAAGGAGTTGCAGGCCAAGGCTAGGACAACTTTACCAAATGCAGCTAAATCTTCTTGCTAATGGTTCAATATATGTAATAAATACAGAAATGATTAAATGCAGAATTAAAATAAAATTTAAATTAAATTTATTGAGACAAATATAAATAATAATTTTTATTTATAATAGCCAGCATGAAAACTGGAGAAAAATGGCACAAGCATAAATAAATCAAAGCCAGTATAGAATAAACAGTTCTAATTATTTTTTATGGATCTGAATTTCTTAATGTCTGTAATGTATTGTTATGTGTATAAAATGTATATTATATATCGTTATAATCTGCATAATTATCATTTTTATCAAAAGAAAATTATCAAGAATTAACTTGAAATTCTTCAATATTTATGACAATCTTGGAGAATATTGATGCTGAAAATATTTCAGAAATAAAGCAATTCTTTAAAGTGATATATTTGAATATATCTTTGACAATCTGAAACCATGTTGTGACTCTTCTTTGATTCTTAAACACTATTCTATCATCTTTATTTAGTTCAGTTGAGTCAAGCTGTTCACACAGGCATATATTATATATATATATATCTATTTTAATATACACTTATATCATATTTGCCAGCATATAAGATGCACATTTCTTTGTAAAAAATACTGTCAGAAAAGGAGTGCAACTTTATATGCTGGCAAATATATATGTATATCTTTTTATTTAGAAAGTGAATTGCATTATTGTTGTTATTGTTTGTCTTTAATATTCATCTTACACATCAATTGTATGAAAATTAGTGCGCTATATTTTTCAATAAAATAGATTAGAAATGTACTAAAAGTCTTTTAAAAAAATGGGGTGAATTTTATACATCATCAAATATGGTAATTAATATTATGCATTCAATAAATGTAAAATATCAATTATTTTTTCAAGTTTTAAGACTTAGCTCAGTTGCATATTAAGAAAAAAGTCTTTATTTTTAGGAGAATGAAGCATCTGTTTATTTGGTAAAAATGTAGTAGTTTAAATTGGATAAATGTAAAAAATTTTTTTATCACATTTGATGATAATAAAAATATAGTGGATAAAGATAGAAATTATATAAAATGTTCACTTAATATTTAATAGATTTAAATGAAATAAATTTTTATAATACAGCAAACAGTTTTATAGATAAATTTTGAAAAACATAATGAAAATGTTTACAGGTAGACAGAAAAGCCATCATTAAATCTTAATGCATAATTTTGATGAGTTCGTTCACAAGAACTTTCCTTCTGTACAAAGTTCCAAAAATGACTGTTATTTTACAAAATGTGAAAGTATATTAATTAACTACATAAATTTAAATAAATTTAAAATCAATGAAAAATTAAATGCCACAACAATGAATAAAATATTTCTTTTTGAATTTATAAATACAAATAGAAATATAGAAATGAATATTCTGAAGTATAGTATTATTATTGAGCTCCTAATTACAGTAATATAAATATAAGATTTATCCTTATATTTTAACATTAAAATATTTTTCTATATATTGTTTTATATAAAATTCTAAATCCCAGAATTCAAATACAATTAAACAATCAGAGTTCATATTTATGTACATAAAAAATTTATAAAAGATTTTGTGTGTTAATAATGTGTTATCAAAGTGTTTAATTATAACAAATAACCAATAAATGAAGCAAGGAAAAAGCTGTAATGACTAAACAGAATGTTTCTATTCTTACATTTCAAAAGTAAGTCTAGTAAACAATGCTCAATTTGTCTGAATATACCTATTCTCAACAGATTTGATTCTGCCAGATGTAAGTATTTTTTTTTTATAAGCATGATTAAGTTTTGTTTAGTCAATGATAAATAAGAAAAATACTATTTCAACTAAACAATTTTTGCAAAAAAATAAATGCCAAGCATAAAAAAAATTTAATATAATTAGTTTCTAAATGTTGAGAATTATTCTAGGATAAACTTCTTTGTAAAATTTACTTTATTTGATGGAAATAAAATTACCACAAAGTAAAATTATTTTGTACGGAGTAGTCATTTCTAAATAGATAACTAATTGCAACTTCTTAATCTTAAACCTGAACAAAAGTATAATTAGTTATTCTGTTTAGTTGTTGGATGTGGGATGATTTTTCTCTTTTGTTGAGGATAATTTACTTGTTCTTTATATTCTATATCCATGGTTCCCGAAGTGTGGATTGTGAGAACTGTGGGGTCACAAGGGATTTTACAATCACCTGTCATGTTTGCCCATAGAATTAAATATCTCTTCAGAAACATCACCTACAGCATAAGAGCTTTAATTTGATACCCAAACTATTTTTAACCCCAACCATTTACTCAAACTAAGTTGGACAAATTGAAACCCTCTTTCAATTACTATATAGACAATTAAGAAAAAAAAAACCACTAGAAATATTTAAAGAATTTTTTTCATTTGAAAAAATTGCCAGGACAAATTTAGATTTACAATAAATATATTTCTTGGGTAATAACAATTAACAAAAAATATATTTATTGGGTAATAACGAAACGATTTCACAGACTCTGCTGTGGAATCGTTATTATCTCAACAGTGTGTGAAAAAACTGAATGAAATAGACTCATCCAGTATGTACAGTCTACCAAGAAATATATTTTTTGTGAATTTTCATCACATGAAAAAATGTTTTATATTATATGAAATCATTTATCAACTTTAGCTAATGATCAATTAGAATCAGCAAATATTGTTTATTATTAATTTTACATGTTAATTTTTGCTACAAAAAAAAAAAAAAACAATAGAATTTCTATCTCAAAATTCAATTTACGATAAAAAATATTTTAACTTATAAAATGTTGCATTATATTATTATTACAGAATTTTGATATAAGTTACTTTTTCTAATCTCCATTTTTAAACTGTTTATTATTTTGAAATTCAAAAAATTTTTGGATATTATGGATATAGTATATCCAATATAGTATATCCATAATATCCAAAAATATCCATAAAAAATTATTATTTTAACATAACAGTTTTTATGTTTCAATTTTCATGCAATTTCTAAAACAAGAGAATAGATACAGTATTTTTCTTAATGTGCCTGAACTATTATAATTGCTCTATTGATATAAACTAACTGTATGCATGTGTGCATGTACTTAAATGAAAATATACAATTAAGCATACAATAAATATAAATGAATAAGAAAGAGGCAATCTTCAAAGTGTTAAAAGTTATAAAACTATTTCTTTTGTGTGATTGTAATGTAGTAATTTATTTAATTAACAATAAGTAAATTTATATTAAAATCATAAATATTGTTATTATTAGACTTTACAAGAGGTTCTTTCTTTTACTATAGACTGAATTATTTTATATCAGATAATTAAATATCAGTTAGCTTATGCAGAAAAAGATATTTTCATATGGCAAATGTCTTTGTCAAATACAGTGTTAATGGCAAAATATGGTTATCATTAATGTTGTAAAGACAGATGTTTATAATGAATGAAGTAATAATGCAAGTATTATTTAATTTAAAACATAAATTTTAAATGAATATGAAAATCGAATTTCGGCAATAAATAAAATCCCTTATATTTCATATAATTAGAAATTAAAACTTTCAAAAAATTTTTCATATATCATATAAGATTAAAAATTACTATTTAGTAAAAAGTTATTTACATTTTAATATATGTATATTAAAACATTAATAACATTAAAGTATGTTTTATTATATTATTATATACTAAAAATAAATAAATAATATATCATATAATAATTTGTTAAGTATAAAAAAAAGTATTCAAGTTCTGTTTGTATTATTTTGTTTTATAGAAATTTTCGAAAAATATAATAAAAATATTTTTATCTTAAAAACTAATGTTTATTGTAATAAACTGTTAGCATGTTTAACAAATGCTATATCATTAATTTATAAATATAAAAAACAATTGCAAGATGTGCAATGACTTACCTGAAAATGTGGCAAAAGTGTCTTTGAATTTGGTTGATTGGCGTCAAATCCAAGAACATCACATATACCACAACAATTTAATCTTAATCTAATAAAATAAATTTTGTAAAAAAATTTTACAAAAAAAATAAATAATAATATATATANTGTTTGGGGTTAATTTATGCATGATATATATTTAAAATAGTTTATTCAAAATTCCATATAAAACTTTACGACTTTATTTTAAAATATGAGGTAATCATAAAAGTATGTTCTGATTTCATGAATTTATTTAGCAAGTCAAGTGGAAGTAGTACAAACAATCCTCATGTTATTCAATGAATTTCAGTAAGTGTGCTGTTAATTGCAGGTAATGTGCCAAGATGACATTAAAGATCTGTTTATATTTTTCCCAAGGAATTGTGAAAGGCATTAACTAAGACTATGGCTGCAATTATTCCCACTTTAAATTCATCGCCAGATACAGAGACCTGGACTGTTTTATAATATTATACATATAAATTTATATAATTACATGTTTTAAACTTTATACAAAAATGTTTTAGACAGGTATAAAAATAAAATTCAAAAAATGAAAATGAAACACAAAGTTTCAGTTTCTTTTTAGAAAGTCAAAACTGCAAGTACACTTTCCAGAATACTTGTGAAGTATGCAAGAAAGCCTACTATCCAAGCCTTAATTTTGCTCTAACTTTTATTACCTTTTTACTTTTATTGATATAATCAAGACAGAAGCAATAAGTTACAATTTGTCGTTTATAATATAGGTGTCCAATGCATATATTTCTTTCTATAAAACAATAACTCATAACTTGATTTAATTAATTAACTCCAAATAATCTGCCAAAATATCGGACTATTTTTGGCTATGTTAATGATTAGTTATTAATTAATTTGACTAGAGATAGGCAAATATGCTGCCATCATATACTAATTTTAATAATCGTAATAAATTCATTTTTAATTTAGAAATTTCTAGAAGAAAAGAATAAGGCCAGGGCAAGACTCAAACCAATCACTTTTGGTCACCATGAAGATCCCTAATTTAGATATAGTCATACAGATTATATCAAAATTAACCCAAATGGTTAATTTAGACAGTTCTAAATTAATTGTTCTGGAAGTGAAGATTGAACTGAGAACTGGATAGCATAATTGGCAATGCATCAGTGAGCCAAAGCTGCAGGTTCAAGTCCTGTTCTGGCCCAATTTTCTTCCAGAATTTTCTAAATTAAAACTTAATGTACTATAATTACCATATTAAAATTAATATGAAATGGCAATATAACCATCTACCTCTATTCAAATTAGTAACTAATCATTAATATAGCCCAATATTTTGGCAGATTGTTTGGGGTTAATTTATGCATGCTGATTTCTATTGATCCAAATACTTAATCTGTTATTATAATGAAAAATTAATAATAAATTATGTTAAAGATTTGCAACGTATGTAGTAAACAATAAGACTTACTACAAGTTAAAATATGCATATTTCCTGACTTAATTATTAAATATATTTACCTTGATTTTCCAGTTATCAAAATTTTTGATGGTTCAAATGCTCTGCAGGCTAACCCCGCTGCATGAATGGTACGAAGTACTGAACTTAACTGTACAATATAAGCCCAAATCAAGCTTTCTGGTAATAAGCCTGCATGCTGCCTTAAATTATTTAATCCTATTATATATAAAAAAAAATGTTTGTTAATAATTTCAATGTTTAGTTAATAAAATTTACCATCATATTGAATACAATAATACAAACAATATTTCATACATAACTATGTTTAATTACTTGCAATATTTGGCTGAGTTATCTATTAATTATAAAAATAATAAAGCATTTTTAATATTTATTAAATAAATCATATCATCAAATAATATACAATTTATTACATATACCAATATATGACTAAAAGCATTTAATCAATATAATATGGATATTCTTAATGCAATGTTAAATATCTTAAAAAATAATTTTTGTTTCTATGATATTTAGACTATATTATTAATATATTAGCTAATCTCAAATGAATGATCACACACATGAGCATACCTATACATATACACTTTACTAATCCCTTCCAATGAAGATGCCCTTTATTCTGGGAAATGCATTTTTCCAATCTCCTTTAATAAATTTATTTTACCAGTTTTCATTTTTTACATCACATTCAATATTCTTTGTTTTAAACATTTGATTTTTCCTTTCTTTTCTTATTACAAAAGTTAACAAACAAGTTCTTGTTAAACTAAGAGCTGCTAAGTGATGCTGTTGAGAACATTGCTAAATTTTTTTTTCATTTCTTCAGCATGACGAAGTGCAATTGATTAAACACAAAGTGTTTTTTTTACATTATTTATTCATTGGTCAATAATACTAAGTATAATTTGTAAACAGTCAAACAAAAAAGAGGAAAAAGCCGATAACCATGCACGCAATCCCTTTTTTTTAAGAAAATATGTTTTAATGTTATACAAATTAACTAATATATTTGAAACTATAAACAACAGAATAAAAAGTGGACTAAAGAGGGGTACCAGAGACCCGAAACACACATCGACCAATGAATAAATAATGAATGTAAAAAAACGCCTTGTATCTAATCAATTGCAGTTCATTGAACTGAAAAAACGTGTTAATGTTAAATAATTGTGTATCTCACTAACATGTTTTTTAAGTATCACATTAATATCTTTCTCTTAAATTGAACATCGATCATCAAATTAAAACACTTTCAAGCATATCACGCAACAGAATAAGCAAACAAACTGAACGATTCAAATTCAACAGAGTTCAGATTTATTCAAATATCGTTGTTCAATCCAGCTTTTCACCTGAAGAAAGCCCAGAAGGGGTTAAGAAAAAGTTTGTAGTTGAATTAACAATTAGATATGCATCGGTTATAGGTTCGGTACGTCATATTTACTTTATACATCCTGGTGTGCAGTTGCTGTTATATATTAAGTCTGTTTTATAACACGAGTGTCTTGTACAAATAAAATGTCAGTTGTTTGCAATGCTAAAATACAAAGTGGCAACTTTTGGTACCAACTTTTTGTTTACTGGAATGTTTTCTGCATATCCTGAGATGTCATCATAGCAGATTTGATTCCTTTTGAATTGCTAAATAAGTCTCTAGAGGTGTTTAATTATGGTCATCCAGTACAGTAATACACCGACTTACGCGAACCTGGAGTTACGCAATTTTCAAATCTTGTCGATTCGTCTTTTGTTTGAGCGCCACACAACTCTTGATTACTCACTTCCCCCACACTATTGTTCAGCTTACATGTTCGGACGTGTGGAATTGACTCAGAGTTACAATTTATTTTGTGTTATTTATTTCTGTGTTTGTTATATCTACGGAGACTTGAGAGACTATGAGGTGATTTCTTGTAATCGTGAACGAATCAAAAGACGAGGTAAGATTAACTAGAACATTTATTAGCTTACATACATCTGACTTGGATTTTACACAAATTGTGAAATTATACACTAACTTACGCAAATTTGACTTACGTGGTTATCGCTCGGTCCCACCTATCGCATAAGTTCGGCGTATTACTGTATATAAAAACAACAAATATTTATCATTGGTCTACCTTGAATAGTAAAAACCAACTTTTCTTTTGAATTCAAGTACTTCTCTCAAATAGTTGCTTCAATTACATCGAGATCGGCCATTTTAGAACAGCTCTGTGTGTGTTATAGTATATATAAACAGCTGTGTGTGTGTGTCATAGTATATAATAAATCTGTCTAAAAAATCAATATACTCTGATAAGATTACTCATTTCATACTTTACATGAATATAAAATATTCAACTATAAAATTGAAGTATTGTAAAATATGCTTCATTTATAAATTTACATGATTTTATCTCATTATTATTATATCCAATTTGTTTTTACAATAGTTATTTTAACAGAATGTATTTTAAATACAGTCAAAACTTGGTTTACAATCATCAAGATACTTGACAAGAGCTGACCACAGATTAGAGAGACTGATTGTTAATTCCATATACTTCTTATGTTAAAGAAAGACAACAGCCCAACCAATCAGCAATATTCAGAAGCTAGTAGCAGTGAGATTGCCTTGCACCATTAGACGACCCAACACAAAACAATGTTGCTATTTAAATTAGGTTTCAGTGCACATGTTTCCCACATCCATTTTTACTACATCCATTTTTTGGTACATGCTGCATTTTATTTAAATCAAATTAATAAAAACTGCATTAATTGATATCTACGTAATATAAATAGCAAGGTGCTTAAGTCAAATTAAATAAAAATTCCTTATACATACAGTAATACAGTATTATAATGCAATGTAATATTGTATATAATATATATATACAATATTACATTGCATTTGTAGTATCTTGAGGGGTCAGAAAAGAATCTATTTTATACTGTTTCTTATAGAAAAAATTTGTCTCTGTTTTAGAAAAAACTGGTTTCCAAACAACTTTTAGGAACAAATTATGTTTGAAAACATAGGTTTGATTGTACATGGTCTTCTAAAAAAAATGCTACCATTTTTAATTATTGTAATTTTGTTAATTACAGTCGACCCCCTATAACGTGGGTTCCTATAACGGAAATTCCTATAACGTAGCGAAAAAATTGTAGCAATATTCGTATAAAGTGACTCGTAAAATGTCGTCGCCGACTCCTGTCGCAACAAGATTGGTCAAATCTGGACTAATAGTGGACGAGCAGCCGAACTACTTTCCGCCGCCCAGCATCACGCTACGGAGAGTTTAGGTGGCTAAACTGAGTTTGCTATCGTTTGTACAGCATTATATATAAATTATATATAAATTAGGTACTGTATATATAATTATATATTAACTTATTGTAACTTTGTTATAATTAAATATATAATTTCCGCCGTCTAGCGTGGCGCCACGCTACGGAGATTTTTACGCTAACTATCGTCTGTCAGTATGTAAATTAGGTACCGTAAGTCTAATACAGTACTGTAATTTTATACATTTCTTGTGAAAGAAACATTTCTTATTCAACGGCGATTAAAATTATTTATATTAATGATGTCTCCGAAGTTC